GCCGAGGGGCTGGGGGAGCGGGGCAGCGACTTGCAGGAGGCCAGGAGCTGCTGCTGCTTCCTCAGCGTCACGACCTTCTGGGCCACTGCGGAGACAGCAGCAGCGTCACCCTCCCTGGCCGCGGGGACCTCCACTGCCGCCGCGTTCCCCCCATCACCTACCTTCGGTGAAGACCCGGTCCACGTTGAGGCCGTACGTGGCACAGGTCTCGTAGTAGAGGCACCGCTTCATGTCGCCACAGAGTGCCTGGGCTCGGGCGTCCTCAATCACCCGGGGATTGGAGGAAGTGATTTTGTCTGCAGACAGGCGGAGGGGTGAGGCGAGGGTCCCAGCACGTCCCCGTCCCCCAGCCGTGCCGCCCCGCCAGCTCACCCTGAGTGCCCACCAGCGCCAGGGCCAAGTCGCTGGTGCCCCGGTGGCTGCTGAGCAGTGCATGTAGCTGCGTCACCTCCTCGAAGCTGCTCTCATTCTCCAGGCTGAACACAAAGACGACGGCGTCCACCCAGTTGGCGAACTGGAGGGGGGAAACGCATGGGACAGGGGTGTCACGGCTCTGTGATGCTGGTGACAGCCACCACGGCCCCCCCCACTGGCCTCAACATACCTTGGCATCTGGGGCGCCTCCTTCCTCTCGGATGAGCAGGAGGTGGCTCTGGCCATCAACCATCACCTCGCGCTTGAACTGCCCGCCTGGAGCCGGGGGACAAGAGGGATGGCAGCATGGCCTTGCCATGGAGGGAATGTGCCACGGGATGGCCGTGCCAGGGGCTGGGAGGCGAGCCTGGCCAGGGACGGGGCTTAGCCCCTGGCCTGAGGCCATGGCCAACCCCATGGCCATGTCCGACCTCATGGCTATTCCAAGCCCAGTGGCCATGCCTGACTCCATGGACATGCCCAAAACTATGGCCATTCCCGACCTCCATGGCCGTTCCCAGTCCCGTGGTCATTCCCAACCTCATGGCCATTCCCATCCCTACAGCCATTCCTGACCCCCATGGCCATTCCCAGTCCCATTGCCATTCCCAACCTCATAGCCATTCCCATCCTTAAAGCCATTCCCGACCCCTATAGCCGTTCTTGACCCCGTGGCTATTCCCAATCCAATGGCCATTCCCACCCTATGGCCATTCCCAGTCCCATGGCTATTCCCAACACCATGGCCATTCCCATCCCTATAGCCATTCCTGACCCCCATGGCCGTTCCCAGTCCCATGGCTATTCCCAACATATGGCCATTCCCACCCCTACAGCCATTCCTGACCCCCATGGCCGTTCCCAGTCCCATGGCTATTCCCAACATATGGCCATTCCCACCCCTACAGCCATTCCTGACCCCCATGGCCGTTCCCAGTCCCATGGCTATTCCCAACATATGGCCATTCCCACCCCTACAGCCATTCCTGACCCCCATGGCCGTTCCCAGTCCCATGGCTATTCCCAACATATGGCCATTCCCACCCCTACAGCCATTCCTGACCCCCATGGCCGTTCCCAGTCCCATGGCTATTCCCAACATATGGCCATTCCCACCCCTACAGCCATTCCTGACCCCCATGGCCGTTCCCAGTCCCATGGCTATTCCCAACATATGGCCATTCCCACCCCTACAGCCATTCCTGACCCCCATGGCCGTTCCCAGTCCCATGGCTATTCCCAACATATGGCCATTCCCACCCCTACAGCCATTCCTGACCACCATGGCCATTCCCAGTCCCATGACTATTCCCAACATCATGCCCATTCCCACCCCTACAGCCATTCCTGACCCCCATGGCCATTCCCAGTCCCATTGCCATTCCCAACCTCATAGCCATTCCCATCCTTAAAGCCATTCCCGACCCCTATAGCCGTTCTTGACCCCGTGGCTATTCCCAATCCAATGGCCATTCCCACCCTATGGCCATTCCCAGTCCCATGGCTATTCCCAACACCATGGCCATTCCCATCCCTATAGCCATTCCTGACCCCCATGGCCGTTCCCAGTCCCATGGCTATTCCCAACATATGGCCATTCCCACCCCTACAGCCATTCCTGACCCCCATGGCCATTCCCAGTCCCATGGCTATTCCCAGTCCCATGCCCATTCCCAACCCAATGGCCATGCCCAGCCGCATGGCCATGCCGCTTCCCAGCCACTCACTCTCCGTGGGCTCCAGGTCCACGTAGGAGCCG